GAGATATTGGGACGAAATTTTGAATCTAACTTGGATGATCTTTGAAAATTATTGCTAGTGGACTCTCCATCTCCTGTAATGCATCAATATCAATCGATTCTTCAAGATCAGACCGTAAAATTCCCCGATTTCTATTGATTTAATTCAATATCCACAGAATAACAACTTAAAAGAAGTAACAAAGTGGAAAATCCTTAAAAAGTCTCTTTGTTCAACTTTTTACCATCATAAATACAGTCGTAATAAGTCGTTCCTTTGTTAGAATAAAATATTTTAAAAAGTAACACAACGCAGAGGGAGAGAAATAAGAAAATCTCTGTATGGGGGATGGAAAGAAGAAGTGAGCGAAAATCACAAGATAAAGATGACAACACTAAACGACGACGTATTTTTAATATTCTTGGTAGGAACTGCAAAACAGAGAGAAATATGCGCTACGGAGAGAATCGTAAATTGCGTATTACGAATGAAGCACAATAAAACTAAGGAGAATATGATTAATGCAATTTTGTCACATACTCAGCAAGTCATAAGAAAGAAGAAAAAATTACTCATGGATGATGATGATGAGGACAATTTCTCCATCTGACAACAAATCACAGACAGACAATACCATGTGCTTCATTTATGTGATTTATAGTTGCAACAATTTGCCGAAAAAAAAAAGAATCTCTCTCGCATGATTGACAAAAATGCTGGTATGGGTAGTTACATTTAATTTTCAATGATGATGATGATGCTAGAGGTAACAGCACTTATGGTGGTGGATGGAAATAAATAACATTTAATTTATAATATAAAGTATCACTGCATTTTACTTCATCAAGTGCATAATGGTTTTTATGACAAGTGTTTTGAGCATTAAATATTTTGTTGTGAGGCTTTAGAATATTTGGATGCTGACAAAAAGGGACTGAAAATTGTCTGCGTGACATGACAACTCAACATAACCTTAATTTATGGTACGGATATCCAAAAAACATGTGACTTCAAATCATGAGAAGAATTTACACAATTTCAACATATTCAGCAAAAATTTTAAAAGCCAGGACATAAGGTGGGTGGGAGGAATGAAGCATTTTCAAGGATCACTTGATGTAATTTCATTTCTACTCCCTCGCATTAAACGAGCTTGTGGCAAGTACCCATTTTATGAACATGGTCATTAATCAACAGCACATACGTACTGATGATAATAGCCATGCCAGTGATGTTGTTGTTGCTGCTGCATAAACTTTTCTATTTTTGAAAGGAAAACCTAAAAATCTACGCATGCATACTAATGTCCGTACTTTTCCTTTGGAAAATTAATCTAATGATTTTGCTGTTTGGGGGTTTATATTGATAGGAATCTTATTGTGGATGCTTAAGGTTTTTTGGTTTACAGATTTTTGGGGGATCTTTTGATGAGTCATGGAGTGGGTAGTGCAACTTGTGAATTTTAAGTTTTGATGATTTTGTTGAATCGGAAAGATTAAGAATAGAAAAATCTGTTTTAAAGTAGGTTTTGATTCAAAATTTCAATTAGTATTACTAGCAACGTGAGGATTCGAACCCATAAATTCTAAGAACCTGACCAATTAACACAACCATTCAGACACCGAGCTATTTGCGTGGATATTGACATTATTCTTATTTATGAGGACAGAGTCAGAAATTGAACAACTTTAGAGTTTTGAAACCAAATCAATCGAGCATTTGGAACCTCTAAACTATTATATTTCAATCTACACAAGTAGAATACAAAGAAAATCTGCCTAACTTGCTAAAAATACACTTCTTTATTAGCAAAAATTAGAAAAAAAGAAAATAAAAACTTTTTTTCCTCATTACATCCAGAAGTGGACCCTCTGCCTACTAAACACAAGGTGCTGCGTTCGATTAAATGTAATGAAATGAAACGAATGTGGGTTTTAATGCACAAAAAATAAGAAGAAGATGGAAAAAAGCACTTCAACAATTTAGATGCAGATGAGTTCAGTTTTTCATAAAATAATATGTGTGTATTATATTGAAAAAAAAAGAGGGAGAGAAGCGCAACAATACAATAAAAAAATATGTGGTCCACAGTTCAGCATTATTGCGTTGTGAATTTATCCATCGTTTCGAGGCACACACAAAAAAACTTTTTATACGAGGGTGAATTTTTTTTTGTTTTTCCTTCTGCAATATTCGCATTTTCATTGTATTTGTGTAGTATAGAATCTATTCACTATATGTATAGTCAGTGAATGGTATGAACGATGAACATTCGAACCCAAGCTATACACAATGCACACCACCCTTCTCTGATTCACTCATTTTCTCTCCCTTCCATTTATAAAAATTTTACTTGTTCTCTGATTCATTCGGGAAATTCTCTTTCCTTCTGCTTCTACTTCTTTCTTTTTTTGCTGCTTTTGCTTTGGCTGTTGTTATTGTTTATGTATCAAACAGCTTTTTTTGATGTAACGCTTATATTTCCTTCTTCTCAATTCTTGTATTTTACAGTAAGGGATGTCAATGATGAATGCGAAAAGAAAGAGCACAGAGAGCAATTTCCATTCATCTTTAATTAAATTCTACATTGAAACGAGACATACACAGCACAAAAAAGGTACATGTTCGTATTAAAATGCGTAATAATTCACTGTGACTGACTAAAAACAAAGATGACAAGTTTTTCAGCACTGAAATGTTCACTTTTAGTTTGAATTGGATCGAATTTTTTTATAAATCTAATTAGGATTATTTTTGGTGCTAGAAATTAGATGTAATTTGAGGAATCTTATGCTTAAAATTATACAAAAGAGTGTCAAGAGGAATGTTTTAAAATTGATTGGATTAAAGATCTTGAATTATTCATTTTGAAATTTATTGATTGTATTTGAATGTAGAGATATGAAGCTATTGAAGTTCTTTGTTTGTTATGATTCATAAGGTTGATGCTACATGCAGTATAAGAGAAGATATAATAGAGTTGTTTTTTAACAAAAACCTTCACTGGATCTGCAAATTTTTAACTTTTTTTATATTATTTGGATCTATATTAATTTTATAGTCAAATGTTAGAGGATGCCTTAAAAGTAAAGGCACAATTGGCTAAAGAAACCATAAAAAACTCTTTAAATCCTGAATCTCAGTAATTTGGTAATATTTCAAAAGGATTAAACCACAAAACCCAAACATTTTACATCTGAACTACCTAATACTCTAATTTTAATAAACTATCACTTAACCACATCTAGAAGCAACCTTACAATTCCACAACTAACCCTGTAAAGGTTCATCGACTTCAACATTAATGAAGCTTTTCGATTAACTTAATTATAGGATAATTCTCATTGAAAAGAACATCTATTTAAATTAATGGATTCTGATGCCATTGAAAGCAGATCATCCTTCAAATTTCACGCTAGAATTGAGCAGATTTCTAAAAACGAAATATTTCGTTCACTAGCTGAAACTCTCCATTAATTATTTATATTGATTTTTTTTTCGGTCTGTATTTTTGTAGGCAATAAACGATTCTTATAATATTAATAATTCAATGCGATGCAATACAAAAAGGCCTTCCTTCCTGTTTGTCGGTAAGTAATTCATTGGAAGCTAATAAAAATGAAATGGATATGTACTTTGTAGTCTAAAAAACACTACGTAACACTCGAATGACGAATAATATGTGGAAGTAAAAACGGATAAAGAAAGAGACAACAAAGAGAGAAAGAACTAAGACGATATGCACAACAAAAAACATCTGGTCTGAATGTGTACAATATTTGACGAAAATAAAGCATTAACAGTAAGGAGCAGCATAAATTATAAGAACAGAAAAAAAAGTCGCCCCAAAGAACATGCACACAAACAGAAATTTATGGTCTTTTGTTGCTACAATCATCATCTCTTTCCCGTATTATTGTTATTATTCTACGTATCAACACACGCGTTTTACTTAATACATTTATGCCCCATAATTTTCGCTAACAATAATTTTATTTTTTTTCTGTGTTGTTTTGTGTATGCATTAAAAAAAGAGTAAATAAGTTTATTTTTTTCGAGGTTCTCCGTTCGTTATGGTCAATGGACACATTGAGGCATTCGAAAAAATTGTTAAATTATGCAGCATGTGCTGGGTAATGGAAACCTAATTTACAAATTTAGCCCTCGCCACTGATCATTGAAACGGTTCGTAGCATTTTATGTACATATCTGTTGTGATGTATTTGGATTGTAGATAGTCATAAAGTAAAGTTCACCGCTGTTACTCTTTTTCGGGTATGCGAAGAGAAATAAAAATTAATAAATTAACATATTTGTACGTTAATTTCTGTTTAATTGTAGCAGAGGTAAAAATATTTATGATGTATTATTATAGACTAGATCTTCGCTGTGCATTATGAATGGTCATTAAGTAAGTCGTAAGCAAGAGATAAATAGAGATATAAAAAAAAAAGTAGAAAAAATTTCAATTCAAACGGTTTAACAGCTATCCCGATATATTTCGTTAAGTCTGTGCTCATCAGTTTCTTATTTTTCGTATGTTGTGTTATTATGTTACTTCCACTGTTAAGCGGGGATCATTTTAAAATGACGTAAACTGTTTTAATCATGAATCAGACTCTCTTTCTTGAACTAAGAATAGCTATAACCGAGAAACTAGCTTCTGAAAACTATTAAGTACATAATATGACAATACTATAGCCAAAATCAGCGGTGGTCCAAAAATCACATTGACATCATTAATGAACGACTCCCGCTAATCTCATTGCTACCGAAAAGACCAACTTTCAACTATTTTTTGGAATTTTTTCTCGTTCAAAAATGCAATTTTCTAAATAAATATTGCGTAGTGAAAAACTATGTGCGAAATTGATTCGTGAAATGCAGAAAAACAGATTCACTTTCAATTTTTCTTTCTTTCGTTTCTATTTCGATTTTCATAATTTTGTAGCTATTTAATCTTTTTTCTCGATTTTCTTCTTCTTTCCATTTTTCATTTCATTGCATTTCTTTTTATTTACCTTAATTCTGTTTTTTTTTGTTTGTGGGTTGAATTTGTTATCTGAGGATTTATTCCTAAATTCTCTTTGATATGAACTTTAATTTTAATTTAATATTTTCTCTCTTTTTTTTTGTTAAATTAATTTTATTTTTCACAGTCTTTCACAGAATTTTCCTTCCGAGATTTTTCACAAAAAAAAATATAAAGATTGTTTTTCAACGAGATGTAATTTTCCACGATCAGTTCTGATCACCACGTTTTAGGTATGAAATTTGAAAATTTTAAATCACAATTCTCAAAAATTTAATAAATTGTTTGTTCGATTTTATCAATAAGCTTCTTCCCGTACCGGATTAAAAGGATTTTCACAGAAATTAATTAAGATAATTAAAAAAGATTTTTCCGAGCACGATCGAAAAGCACGTCTGGTCTTAACGAAATCAAAAACGTAAATGTGAGAATTTTTGAGCGAATGGAAATTTTGAGTAACGAATTGTTGGTGAGCAGTTCTGTGTGATTTGTAAAAAGACTTTTGTAAAATTTACATTTGAATTTCACAAAACCGTTACACAATTTTTTGTCATTTGAATATTTTTATGCTGTTAAGAAGCACTCTATAAAATATTAAACATACATAAATTATTATGTGTCAAAACGATTTATGATCGCAGCATGTCGTGGGGAAATATAATCTAATTTTAACTCTATGTCTATTTTTATTAACTGCTAAGCATTTCAGTTCACTTCAACCGCCCAACATTTATTATGTTCAGGGCGGGGATTTAAATCATAAATCAAAATCAAAATAATTTTGCAATTATTTGAAAAATGATTTTTGATTTAAATTATTTTACCCAAGTGATTTATTTTTGATTTCTAAAAATTCCCAAACAAATGTTCACCTTCAAGTGATTTAAAATCCCAAAAAAAAAAATCTCCATACAATGTGATTTAAATCATAAATCACAAATAAATCTTTCATACAAAATGATTTAAATCATAAATCACAAATAAATATTTCATACAAAATGATTTAAATCATAAATCACAAATAAATCTTTCATACAAAATAATTTAAATCATAAATCACAAATAAATCTTTCATGCAAAATGATTTAAATCATAAATCACAAATAAATCTTTCATACAAAATGATTTAAATCATAAATCACAAATAAATATTTCATACAAAATGATTTAAATCATAAATCACAAATAAATCTTTCATACAAAATGATTTAAATCATAAATCACAAATAAATCTTTCATACAAAATGATTTAAATCATAAATCACAAATAAATCTTTCATACAAAATGATTTAAATCATAAATCACAAATAAATCTTTCATACAAAATGATTTAAATCATAAATCACAAATAAATCTTTCATACAAAATGATTTAAATCATAAATCACAAATAAATCTTTCATACAAAATGATTTAAATCATAAATCACAAATAAATCTTTTATACAAAATGATTTAAATCATAAATCACAAATAAATCTTTTATACAAAATGATTTAAATCATAAATCACAAATAAATCTTTAATACAAAATGATTTAAATCATAAATCACAAATAAATCTTTCATACAAAATGATTTAAATCATAAATCACAAATAAATCTTTCATACAAAATGATTTAAATCATAAATCACAAATAAATCTTTCATACAAAATGATTTAAATCATAAATCACAAATAAATCACTTAGGTAAAATGATTTAAATCAGAAATCATTTTTCAAATCATTCTTCATTGAGATTTAAATCAAAAATCACAATTTGATTTGTGATTTTGATTTAAATCAGGGGGGGGGGGGGACAGAGCAAAAATTTCCATAAAAAAAAACCCAAAAATGTTTACTCTGATGAAATTTCCAAGTACTCCACTTTGTATTGGAAAAAAAATCGTCGAAAAATGAAATTTTCGCAATACTTCCTTCCGATGCAGTTTAGGACCGAAATTTTGATTGCAGCTGATGAGAATCATGATTTAAGACCTTTTGACATCCAAAAAATTTTACTTCGATGCTTCAGTTCCTTTAAATTTGACTTTTTCAATTTCGTTTGTTTTTTCGGTTTTTTTTTATGGAAATTTTTGCTCTGTCCCCCCCCTGTTTAAATCGCAAAATACTCCCCCACCCTGATTATGTCATACAACTTTAAGAAGGTGTTACGGGGAGGAGAATACCATTTGGTAGACAACTGACTTCAGGAAATCCTAATCAAATTAAGAGATTAGCTATTTTAAATGATAAAGTCTTGTTCTTAAAACCTGCACTGCATTAGAAGAGATTCTTAAGATTCGAACTAATCTTTTTTCTTTTAAGATACTCAATGACATTTATCAATATTTTAATTTCTTTTGAAGGAACTCTTTTAATGACAAACATTGACAACTTTTTTCAAGTGCTAATTATTACAAAATACTTTTTATTAAAAGGTACTCAATTTACTCATCATTTGTAAAAATGCGTTGGAATCCTCGATATTGGACAATTCCCAGTTTACTTATTTCAACAAAAATCACCAATGATTCTTAAACTTAAACCTTCTGTTCTAGAATGACTCGCTGTTCATACCAACAGCACGACTTCAGCATTTAAGAACGTCATGGACCTTTTATATACAGGACATCATCAATGTAAATTCTACAAAAAGTTCTTTTAATCACCGTTCTTAATCGACATTTAAATGAATTACTCATTATTTCGTGCATATTCAATAAGTCTTGTCTTATGCTGAATACAATTTTTATATCCGCTCTTGTCGATATTTCTCACGCTCTAAACAAATTTCAGAGATTTTGTCCATATAAACAGAGAGCGATATTGTCGTGGATATAAAAAAGTATCAACAGTTTACTGCTAGACTTCTATGAATTAAGACTTGTTAAACAATGAAGCTGAATCTTAGTTTTTTGACAATAGTAAGTTCATCTGGTTAAGTTTTGAAATAAATTGTAAATAAAATCCAATTTTTAGATCACTTGTTGTCATGTTCTAAACCTTCAACCCATAAATATTGATGAAGCACCACAAATTGTGTCATATGAATTTGTGCAACATCCAAATAGCTCCTACTATTATGCCTACGAGACTTCTGATGGACAAGAAAAAAAAGAATTTGGGAATTTTATAGAAATTAATGGCAATAAAGTTCTGTCAGTTGAGGGAAGCTATCGATTTACAGCAGATGATGGAGTGGAACGTAAATTTAAATATACAGCAGGCGTAAATGGTGAGAATAAATGGATATAAATATTATAGTCAATAATGCTTACTGGTGGTCCGTTGGACTTAAAAATCACTTCAATTGCAAGAAATAAGAACAATTTTTTACGGTAATTTTTTTGAAGCAAGCATTCAAGAGTACATAAAGTTTTCAATTATTGTGGATGTGATTTAACAATGAAGACTGGACAATCCTCAATGTCAAATTAACTCAATTGGTGATTTTTTTAAACAACATTATTGTGGAATTTGCTTAAGTTTTATATTTGCTTAAAGTTTGTTGATTATCTAAGAATTTTGTGCATTAATCAAGAACTTTTATCAGATAATTACAAACAATTCCTACATACAGATAATTACAATAACAATGCCGTCATAAACCGTAGAGAAATTGAGAATTAAGAAATTTTATCAAATTCCGCACAATAACTTCAATCACAACTTAAATCAAGTGTTAAAATAAGTATCAGCAAAGTATCAATATCTATATAGCTCTTGTTGATATGATATCGCCTTGAACATATCAATGTAAACAAAAATTGACCTTGAATTCTTCCAAAATCAGATATATCACTTATCAGGGGTGTAGCAAGATATTTCTTTATAAAAGATTATAAAGGAGTTTTGACTTCCTCCCCAAAGTCTAAACTCTTAATTCCAATCATCTTAAATAACTTATCACAAATTTAATTCAATTAAAAGTATAATTCTTACTTGATTTAACATTCCAGGTTTCCATGTAGAACCAGATAATTCAATAGAGTTTGATGACAGAATTGATCCGAACATCATCAAGTCGCTGCTGGGTTAAAATTGAGAGCTTAAGTAATTAAGTGTTAATTTATTATATTTTGAAATTAATACCTGCCATGGAATATCCATAAATGTTTAAACAATGTTAAACAAATGACTTTGTGGTCAATTGATATTAAAATTAATTTTAAAGAACATCCAAAAAGACATTTTTTTAATCATCGGCATCTCCCTTAAGATTACGTATTTTATTCTAGATGGGTCAAAAGTCTGTGTATCGCGTATAAATTAGTCGAGTTTTTGTTGTTTTTGAAAAAATCAAGTCTGAATTTATATTTTTTTAAATCTTGATTCACAACTTAGCGCATCAGTTGTATTTTGATTTTTAAGTGAACAAGACCGTTGGATGAGAATGAAATTGGAATTTAATATTTTTATTTTGGTACGATTAACTTGTTAAAGGTTACTTGATGACTAGAAGAGTAAAAAATTAATAATTGAACTTTTCTAGCCCGCTTTGATTTTGGTTTTAAATCATGCAAATTGTGCACCACTAGATGCTGTTGAAGTCACTAAACAGACATTCAATAAATTTCTAAATCAAGGCTATAATTTCCTATATTCATTAAGTGATGGACAGACAAGAGAAGAGACTGGTACTTATGATGAAAATGGGAATTTAAAAATTAAGGGATCTTATAGCTATAATGGTGATGATAATAAGAAATATAAAGTGCAATATACAGCAGATGAGAATGGTAAGAAGAATCCTTGATGTTGTCTTGAAGTTCAGAGAATTAATGAAATTCCCATTTTTCTGCTTCAAGGTTATCAAGCACAAAGTGAAGTAGAAGAAATTGTGATACCAATATCAACTCCACCAAATTTGCAGCTCTCAGCTGCTGCAATCGCAACATTATCGGTTGGATAAATGTTTTAAAACAAATATTGAATGTTAAGGGTTCCAACTTGATTTTATTGCTTAATACTAAAGAGCTGATTTTAACCAACATCACTTGTATACAATCTAGAGCTTAGCATGAATAAAATTTGGTTTGTGATCATTTTCAAGTTCAAATCATTTTGTTTTAAAGACTATTCAATACATTAAGTATGACTCATCTTAAAGAAGCTCAAAACTTGTTTCACCGGTGATCAAAATTATTATTGCAAATTAATTCATCTATAAGCATTACATGCATGTTGTTGGAGTGTAAAAAACGTGGTAAAATGTGTAGAAATTTCGGAATCAGAGTTGTTAATTTGGCAAAATTGAATTTTTGGTTATCGAACCTTCGAATGGCTTTTTACTCTGAGTGGTTCTTTAAGTCTGACTTCGTAGATGATATGAGATATTGATAGTGATAATTACGAGGAATAAGTAGCTGGTTTATAATGATTAAGTCAGCTTTTAAGGTTAAAGTAATAAATCAAAAATAATTGAACGATATCAAGATCTACACAGTTTTAGACATGCTGCATTATTAAACATCAACTCTGTTATGCATTTAAAGCAAGTGTGTAAACTTTAAGTATGTTAAGATTATTGACCAATCATGCAAAAATTCTAGATCACTAATTATTATACTGTTACTAGAGCTCTTGTAATTGACTGCTTTTCAGTCAAGTCAGTTGCATATAAACGTCTGGAAGGTGATGATGATATAAAAATGAAAATAAAAGATAAAATTCTGTTTTTTGTAAGTTGATTCCTTTTTTGAACATTTGCAACTTCTATCAATTCTTTAGATTAGTTTAGGTTCGATTATTCAGTTGATATCATGCAATTCAATCAAAACCATCAAGCCACAAATTGTAAAATATGAATTTCATCAACTCTCAAAATTCGGATACAGCTTCTTTTATCAATTAAGTGACGGACATATAAGGAATGAAACTGGATTATTTGATGATAAGGCAGGAATTTTAAGAGTGACTGGGATTTACAGCTACATTGATGAGGATCAGAATAAACATTTAGTAAGATATAGTGCGGATGAGAATGGTAAGAAAGTGAAGCAATTGTCTAGCTAGTGTTTCATATAAAATGATTTTTAATAGGATTCGTCACTAATGATGATACTGAAGATATTGAAGCAGACATATCAATAAATCAACCGATGGAAATTTCCTCAGCTGCTGTTGCCACCTTGTCTGGTTAATATTCTTTCATCCTAAGTTTAATATAAATGTTTTTAAAAACTAGTGTATCAGGTAAAAACCCAATGCGGATATATTCACACCGTACCATCAAAAGTCTTATGGATAGACCAAGATTTGCTCAAAAGTTATACCTAATTTATGTCATAATTATGTCAGCTAAAAAAACACTTAGTTTGAATTTTGCCACCCTCGGGAACACTATGAACCAGTATAGCTGATTTTGGTCCAAATCTCGGCCATACTTCACACTTATTTGAACCACATTTTCTCGTTAATGTTAAAAAAATATTGAAACGTAATTAATCCTGAATTATGTCGCTATTTTGTCTAGTGTTTTAAAAAAAAGAATTTGTTTTTTGGTTTCCACAGTGAAGAGTATGAACAAAATTCAGATGAGGTAGTCGAAATTTTAGATTTCGATTTTTTTTAAGCTATGCATTACAAAAAGTAATATTCGTATGTGATTTATTTCACAATTATGTCAATTCAAATAAAACATCCTAAAATTTTTTTGAACAAAGAACCAAGTAGGAAATACATTTTCAATTTTGGACTAGGGGCGACCCTAGTCAAAATCAATTTTGTCACTTTTTTCTTCGAGGGTTTATCCAAATGGATTGAAGCTTTGCATTAATATTCTAATGCTTAAAACAAATACAATAAAACATCCAAAATTTTTTTGAGCAAAGAACCAAGTAGGAAATACATTTTCAATTTTGGACTAAGGGCGACCCTAGTCAAAATCAATTTTGTCACTTTTTTCTTCGAGGGTTTATCCAAATGGATTAAAACTTTGTATAAATATTTGAGTGCTTAAAACAAATACAAATAAAACATTCTAAAATTTTTTTGAGCAAAGAACCAAGTAGGAAATACATTTTCAATTTTGGACTAGGGGTGACCCTAGTCAAAATGAATTTTGTCACTTTTTTCTATGAGGGTTTATCCAAATGGATTGAAACTTTGCATAAATATTCTAGTGCTTAAAACAAATACAAATAAAACATCCAAGAATTTTTTGAGCAAAGATCCAAGTAGGAAATACATTTTCAATTTTGGACTAGGGGCGACCCTAGTCAAAATAAATTTTGTCACTTTTTTCTATGAGGGTTTATTCAAATGGATTGAAACTTTGCATAAATATTCTAATGTTTAAAACAAATACAAATAAAATTTTCTAAATTTTTTTGAGCGAAGAACCAAGAAGGAAATACATGTTCGATTTTGGACTAGGGGCGACCCTAGTCAAAATAAATTTTGTCACTTTTTTCTTCGAGGGTTTATCCAAATGGATTAAAACTTTGTATAAATATTTTAGTGCTTAAAACAAATACAAATAAAACATTCTAAAATTTTTTTGAGCAAAGAACCAAGTAGGAAATACATTTTCAATTTTGGACTAGGGGCGACCCTAGTAAAAATCAATTTTGTCACTTTTTTCTTCGAGGGTTTATCCAAATGGATTGAAACTTTGCATAAATATTCTAATGTTTAAAACAAATACAAATAAAATTTTCTAAATTTTTTTGAGCGAAGAACCAAGAAGGAAATACATGTTCGATTTTGGACTAGGGGCGACCCTAGTCAAAATAAATTTTGTCACTTTTTTCTTCGAGGGTTTATCCAAATGGATTAAAACTTTGTATAAATATTTTAGTGCTTAAAACAAATACAAATAAAACATTCTAAAATTTTTTTGAGCAAAGAACCAAGTAGGAAATACATTTTCAATTTTGGACTAGGGGCTTTGTCACAAAATTTTGTCACTTTTTTCTTCGAAGGTTTATCCAATTACAGTGAAACTTTGTGTGAGTATACTAATATTAATACAAAAGATTTCTTGCTGATTAACTTGCTTGTTGCTTACAGAAAGCATATTTTGCGATTTTCTCAGCAATGCCTAGGGTAACCATCTAATTTTTATGAAAATACAGGACATTTGATAAAATTTCCTAAAAAATACAGGACACAAAGGAAAACTTGAAAATTAACGGAAATTTTCGTGAAAAAAATACAGGACCTGGAACAAAATTTTCAAATTTATACAGGACAGGGTTTTGAAATACAGGACTGTCCGTTGTAAAACTACGCAGATGGTCACCCTAGCAATGCCCCAACAAATTTGAAATCTGTTTTTTTCAAAAGATGTGAAATTCAAGGCACAAACTTTTCATTTCTGAACATTTTAAGCTTTCTTGCTCCATATCCTCACAAAATTCAAAAAACTGATTGTTCAGTCTGAACAAAACCAATAGATTCACACGTGAAAACAGTGTGAATATAAAAATACTAAAACCTAGCAAAGTAAAAAACGATGCTCCTAATGGGACTTAAACCCCTAACCTCCTGGATAAAGATGATCATAGAAGGCTTTTCAAGCTTGATATTCCGAACACAATACCATTATGCTTTAAGAGCGATGAGGTTATTATGACAAAATGCACTTTTAATGAAAATTCGATTAATGTAAAATTTTCTTCTAAATAAACTATTAAAATGCATCAGTTAAATGGAAATCTAGCATTATATCGTAAAATAATTCTAATTTCATTCTAGTAAAATAAGTTATTTAATTTTCAACCGACTTTTCATTTTTGAATTTTCAAGTTCAAATTATGAACTTTTCATTTTTGAATTCAAAACAACGAGTAAATTTACAAAGGCAAAATTGCTAAAAGCACGCTAAAGTTATTTAATAACCGCATAAAAAGTTTAAAAAACTGCAATTAACTATCGATTAACAATTGGGTAAGTGATATAGCATATTCATAAATATAAAACTAATAGTTTTAATGCATTAAATTCCTCATAAGGCCATTTTAAACCGAAAAAATTAATTTTTTTTCTTCAATTTTTAAATTTTCTTAATTATATTAGATCAGTACAGAAGCTCAAAATGTCTCAAATAGAAGCAGAAACCTATAAATTAGACATTTATCCAGTCAATGATGAGTTCCTAGCATCAATTGATACATCCAGTAACCAAAATGTGGAACAGAAGAATGTTGAAACAGTCGTTATTCTTGACAGGTCAGGCTCGATGGGAGGATCAGTAGTAAAAATCATTCGCAAGATATTACCGAAGTTTTTTGAAATTCTTAAATATGATCCAGAACAAGTCATTAACTTAATCGCATTTGAAAGTCGAACTGTAGTTCACAAGATCAAAATTAAGGACTTCCATACTTATAAAATGTTTAGTGCTGGAGGAACTGTTATGGCACCAGCTGTAACCGAATTGCGAACATTATTTGAGGAATTTAAAGAAAAAATCGATTCTTTGCGCATTGTGACTATTTCTGATGGTATGATTGCTGATGAAGAACAAACTAAGGTTTTAGGTAAGTAGTTTACAAAATTCTGTTATGGATTGTATAATCTTACTAATATTTTAATCATTTTAAGGTGACGAACTGGCTACATTTGCTTCAGATTGTAACATTTTAGTCAATTCTCAAGCTGTTCGTTTTTTCACATCCCGTTCGCAGCCAGACACAACTGCTTTATGTAGCTTATTACAGCTTAACAACATTATAAAGTCTCAAATGATTGATGTTGATGCAATTCATCATCACGATAAAATTGCAGGAAAAATGGCAGATCTGTTTATCAATGATGGATTTGGCAACATAAAGACTCTGAAATGCAATAATCCAATTTTTTACGCATATCCATGGAAGAATGAGGAACTCGATCGATATCTCATCTTGCCAAATCGTCTAAATGTATTTTGGTTGAAGAGAATCCCGAATGAAAGTGATTTAATCACAATTTGCAATGATCCAGTTCATGTTGCAGTCAAAGATATGCTTAAACTAGATGTTTTACAGAAGTTGATTAATGCTAAGCTTGATTATGCAATCGATCGTATGAAAATACTCAAAATTGTTGATACAGAATCAGCTAAGAATGTCATTAATCAAATTGTTGAGTATTTTAAGAAAATGGAAGACATTTTAAACAGTTTGATAGATGTACAGGAAGTAATTGATGAAAAATCAATCATATATCGTGCTAGAATGCTCAAACTCAATAGAATTCGATCCCGAAAAATCACAACTTATTTGGAAACGATTGCAAATGACGATAAAGTCAATGAACTAAATGCAGCACAAAAAGCATCATATTTGAGAAGCGTCGAGCCAGCAAGTAAGACTGGCAAAGGACTAGCAAGAAGAGCTGCAAAGAGAAAGGGAAATCTTGACGTTCCACAAATGTCGTTTATTGAAATCATCCGAAAAGAGGTAAGTTTTGATTTATTCTTAATCCAGCTCGGATTTAGTTTAATCCTAAGATATATTATAATCATTGGATTAATTTTTAAAAATTCTGTCAATTTCAGGTTGAAAATATTAAGGAACATTTCGATGAAATCAAAGACATCGACTATAAAGACCATGCAGTCTCATTCTATTCGCAAGCTACAACAATTGAAGGTCTTAAGCTACTCATTGAGCTTTCTGATGATCCAGATTTTATGAATTATTCAGCAGATGACATTCTTCAGCTTACTAACATCGTTGGTATAGCTTGTAATGGCTCTGTTGGTGATTTTCCTGATCCTTCAACATGGCGAATGAATGAAATCTATTATGGATGTCACATTAGTGTTGCTGATATTATTACTTCAATCCATCAATCTGCTGATACAGAATTTAAGCTTAAAGCACCTGGCTGTGATAAGGAAATAACAAATTCAATTCCAATCTTTGATGATCCAAAAATCGGAGTCTTTTTGAAGAAATATGCACCGTCAATTCTCGAATATTCATCATCAATTGGCATGCGTCGAGTTATTGCTGATGTGCCAATGACTTTGGGCTACACAATTATTGCTGGAATTCGTCGCATGATTTATGATTTAAATAAGAACAAGTCAACTGTTTATCTTGATTCTTTTAAGCAATTGGTCAGCTCTGCAGCTTCCTTTGTTGGCAAATATTATGATCACATTGAGGAACTTTTAGTAGACAAAGATTGTGCAAAAAAAAGCTATTATTTAGCTAATAACGGAATTGCCAATTTAATCGTTCCTTTAATTCGCATTTATAACAAGGAAAATCATGAAGCAGTTAAGCGCATACCTGACATAATGAGATCAATTTATAGCTGTGAAATTTGGAAAGGAATCAGCAAAGAATTTCGTGGTAAGATTAAATTCAATGACATTGTTAAGGACATGATGTATAAATTACTTTGTATTAATGTTGAGAAGCAAAAAGTTCATGTCAAGCCTTTATTTGAGCCAGAACCAGATCGTAAAGACATTAAATTTCCAGAAGAATTTGCAATAAATCAAGGATATGTCAATGAACTTACCAAACCACTTTATTATCACAATTACATGACTTTACTTCCAAAATTCCTACATGCTGCAACCAAAGGATCAATTGAAGATATTAAGGATGTCCCAGAAATGACTAAAACATTGTTTTTGGATTCTTTAGACATCAAGTACTGCTATAAAGATTTTATATTCCTAAATGTGTTTCAAGCTCTTCGATATCCGAGAAATTCTGAACGTGCTGATCAAAAAACTAAGGAAATGAAGATGATTGATTTAAAGGATCATAAAGAAGCTTTAGATGATGTAAAAAAGTACGTCCGTGATCAATTCGAGAAGCTGTATGATTACGAATTGAAGGCAAAGCGTCGAATTGAAGAAACAGAAATGGCACGAATTATTGTCGAAATGATCATCTCTGAGACTGATTATCAAGCTATGATTGATGTTTGGAAAAATGGAATGGAAAGAAATGGAATTACTTATAAAATAGCAACACAATCTAGTAATGGATTTAGGCTTTTATGCCGAAAACTTATCGACACAAAATTGTCAATTCCACTACGTTCTGAAATAATTAAGGTTTTATTCCTTGGAGTTGATTGGAATAATGAAATTGTCTACAATAAAGGAAAGATCTGCGACATAAAGAATGTTAAGAAGTTCAAGAAACGTTTCATGTTGACATCAAGTCTCGATGAATGGAATGAAATTGAAGACATGATTAAGAAACGTCCAGTTCATGTTTATCGTGAAAAGGAGAATAGATGTGGACATGGAAATTCTAAGCCTTCATATTGGGCATTAGGATATAATGAAGTTTATGATTATCTCAATACGTTGGATAATCTAAATCTTTGTGTATATTATGATGCACATCGAAGTTGCTGTAATGCTCAAGATGTTTATTATCATTTATGGAGTCAAAGATATGAAGCTGAACGTGGACGATGTAATGATCAGCAATTCATACAGGATTTATGTAAAGAAGTTCATGACAACATGGCTGTTTCTGACAAAGTTCCAAATGATGATGAGACAATTAGTCAAGATTCCAATGAATATCGTGCGATTGAAGCTATAGAAAACTTAGTAGAATCTGTTGAAGCTAATGAAAGCTTGGTAGAAGCTGTTGAAGCTAAGGAAGATTCTGTTGAAGGTGTTGGAGACGGATTGAATTTTGAAGGATGCCCACAAGGACCAGATATTATTGAATTGATCTCAGATGCTCTTTTAGAGCCTATTAAGGATGAAATTAAGGTTGAAAATGAGGCTAAAGTTGTTAATGAAATTAAAGCTCCAGCAAAGGTTACAAACCAAACAAATGAAGGTCGTAGGAGCACATGTATGATTTTGTGAACCTAAACGCTGAATTTTGATTATATGAAAATATGTGAATTAAGTTTAAGATTTTGGTACCAATAAAGAATTGCTCTGCTAGATTGCAATAACATGATTATTTTTCATAAATCACTAGATTCGTAACGGTTAGGGGCCGTTCACTTATTACGTTTGCATTTTAGGAGGGAAGGGGGGGTCAAGAAGTATGTAAAGTTCTAACTGTCGTCTGTCTTAAAAAAAAGTTCACGAAAAAAATTAATTTACAAATTCACACCAAAAACATTTTTTTAAATTTAACGTTCAGGGAGGGGGGGGGGGGGTATGAGTTGTAAAAAGGGAGGTGTGAGTTGTAACATATTGTAACAAGGGGGGGGGGGGTCGTCTTTTTGCGTAACGTAATAAGTGAACGGCTCCTTAATATAAATTTGAATTTCAAGAAACATTAAACCGCTTTTTAGAATTCAAAGATTGTGATTTGGAACTTAATTGTTGCCCATTAATTAATTAATTTTATAGTGTTAAAGTTTAAGAATTGTATTTTAATTCATTTTTAAAAGTTTTTGTACCTTAAGATCAACATTTTGCCAAATAATGATTATAAGCTCCTATAGCATAATGGTATTGCGCTCGGTATACTTAACTATCAATATTCGGCTTTTATCCGAGAGGTTAGGGGTTCAAGTCCCCTTAGGAGCATCAATTTTTTTATCGGTAATTCTCACTTTTTTGCAACATCAATTCATTAAAATCCTTTTTTGAAGCTTTTTGCCCCTTACAGCTTATGCATCCATCAAGTCACGTTCCAAAGTATTTAAAATGCTGTTGCTAATCCAACACTGGATCTTTAACATTTTCAACCACAACAAAATGACCCATTAAGTACTGAAGATATTTCCGATCATACTTAGCCATAATTGAATGCATTCATTGAATGTTGAGTACTTTATTGGACATAAATTTTTATTGTAATCCAAAAAGCAATTTTCATTACTACCCAAATGATAATGTATTGGCAGCAATTGATAAGAGATTAAGTCTTGTGGAATGTCAGTAAATTAAAATCAACGAAAAGGAATTATTTAAGTGCCGTGTTAAATTGATTTTGTGTTAATTAAGGAGCGATGAATACTTAAAAAAATAATTAAAATTAAAAAATTGCAACGACTTTCGAAAATTCAAATTCCAAAACTGTACAAATGTTTTAAAAATGAAAAATAAAGTACCAAAAAAGGAAGCTGCTCCTAAGGGGACTTGAACCCCTAACCTCTCGGATAAAGATTTTCATTGAAGGCTTTTATAAGCTTGTTATTCCGAGCGCAATACCATTATGCTATAGGAGCGATGAGGTTCCATTTGACAAAATTCATTCTTAATTGAGAAGTTTTAAAATTTAACTTGACTTACTTGAAAATTTAACGCATTTTTGAAAATTTGTTGAGATTTTAAATTTGCAATTTAAACTGTTTTATTTTAAAAAACCTTACAAATGTTTAATGAAAGCAACATTTGTATAGCTTTGAAATTTAAATTTTAAAAAACCGTTAATTTTCTGAACCTTCTTTTGTTCTTTATATCCAATTCTTGCTTTCTTACACCAATCAAAATAATTTTAGAATAAGTTTCAAGAAAAACAACGCAAAACTGATCAAAACTGTCAAAATCAAATACCAGAAATGCCAATGAAAAATGCATTTTGAGAAAAATTTCAAGATTTTAGTGCCAAAAATAGCTTCAAAGCCATTGAAACTGATCAAATAGAAAGCGAAAGTTATTGATGTTATAATACTATTGAAAACCAGATGATGAAGACTTAGTAACACAATTTATTTATAGTTTTTTACTCTCAACAAAACAGGTTTAAAAGCTTGATTAAAAGAACATCGGCATTTTTTTTTGGTTCCATGTCATGTTTAAAAGCGATTTTTATGCAAATCTAAAAGCTATATAGGTATTTGAAAATGTTGGGGTTTTTGATAAGCCTGACTAGACCCCTGAACTCCTCAAATAAATACAATCAATTATAACTTGTCAATTATTTAGAGCATCCGACATTGACCATCACTTTTATGCCTGAGGTTAATTAAATTTACGGCTTTATTGCAGATTTGAATGCTTTCACGCTTTATTAAGCTGCTAGAATTCAAAGCATTCATTATTTTTCAATAAATCACGGTTCGGATCATTTAATTATTTCATAATTTTTACGGTCATCACGCCAATTTGTCCATGTACAGCATAACTCACCTCAATGCATATTTTCTAGTCTCATCTTCAGATGAATAAATTCATTCGAAAAGTTCAAATGCAATCGATTAAATTTGATAAATTGTATTAATATGGGCACTGCTGGCTGAGCATTACTCGCATGTAATTGGAGTTAATTAATTTTTATGCATCTATATTTTATGATTATCTGATTTGTCTTGAACTGAAGATCAGCCTGTGACTGCTTCTACTTCTAATATTTATTGATGCGGATTTAAAAAATTTCAAAGCCTTTAAAAAAATTTAGTGGTGTTTGAGCTGGTTTGTTGGAACTTGAAAAATTTCAAAATTTTAACGGATTTTTAAGATTCAAATTTTTGACGTTTATTAAAAACTTAAGTTTTTAACGGATTTTTTAAATTCAAATTTTAACGGCTCTTAAAAGTTCAAATTTTTAAACTTATCTTTAAAATCTTTAAATGACTGCGACTGGAAGTTCGCTGCATTTTAATTAATCAAATTTCAACTTTAATGAACTAGGCAATTACAGCTTAATTTTTAACGATCCTAATCGATAATTACAAACTTTTATGAACATTAATAATTTCATTTACAATTAATAGACTTCTTAATCTTTAGTCTTCATACCAAAATCCATAAAATCACCGGAGTTCACTCGACATTCACGATATATTAATATTTCGCAAGCTATTATGTCAGTTAAATTGCAGTCGTTTGACTTTCATCTCTTAATTTTTGCTTGCCATGCCATGCGTGTCAAATCTCTAAAAATATCATAGCCGATCCCCGAACTTGAATGAATAAGGATTAATTTGCATTTCACCAAAATATCTTAATAATTTATTTTTATAATTTTTTCAAAAGTGCGCTCAACCTCATTAAGATTTTTTTGTTTATTTAACATGAAGCACACCCACGAGAATGTGTTTGAAAGTTGATCGTATAAATGAAATGATTTGACTTTTAGTTTCAGTTATTTGTCGTGTGTCAATGGGCACTGATTATTAAAAATTAAAATTTTGAATGGATTAATATTTTTTAAATATTTCAACGACTTTTGAAGATTTGAATTTTTAACGATTTTTGAAGATTTGAATTTTTAACGACTTTTTAAAATTTGAATATTACGGTTTTTTGGATTTCAAACTATTAATAGGGTGACCATCTGCGTAGTTTTACAACGGACAGTCCTGTATTTCAACACCATGTCCTGTATAAATTTGAAAACTTTGTTCCAGGTCCTGTATTTTTTTCACGAAAATTTCCGTTAATTTTCGAATTTTACTCTATGTCCTGTTTTTTTCGAAAAAAATTACCAAATGTCCTGTATTTTCATGAAAACTAGATGGTAACCCTAACTATTAATGAATTTTGGGACTTCAAATTTGTAGCACATTATGCAGTTCAAATTTGAATTTTTACAGTTGATTGCATCAGAGTTTAACGATATTTTAAAATTCAAGTTTGAATTTTAAACGATTTTTTGATTGAAATTCAAACAATTGTTATAAAATGCAATAAAAATTCAAAAACCTGAAAAACCTCTCAGCACACCCCAAACAATCCACTCTAATTAATCACAAACCTTTCATCGTACTTCATAAAAATTACAAAAATAATTCGCAAGTCCAACATGATTAATCACATTCTCACATCTAATGTTTGATGTCGACAAATAGTTTACGTCTGTAATATGGCAATTATCAGTAGATTAAAATCATTCATCGCCAAAAAAAAAAAATGATGAAATGTTTAAAGTAGCAATTTTTATTGTCAGTGACTTGATTTATTTTTATTTGATGAATATTTCAGTTGGCAGTGAAAAGAAGCATTAAGACTGCATGAAAGTTGGATGCTGTACGTTCACAATAGAGTAATAGCTGTAATTATAAGGTTTTGAGGATCTCGTGCCTGCATCAACAATAATTATTGGCATAAGACAAAAGAAGCTTCTTGCTGCCCCTGACGTATCCATATTGGAAATAAATTCAGAAAATAATAATTGTTCTACAAATGTCCAAGGTACAGCATACATGAATTAGATTGAATGATCATCAGGTATTAATAACTTTTTCTATTCACTGTGCTGCATTATTGACATTTGTTTGTGGCTATAAAGTTTGTGGCAATTTAAAATAATAATCAAGTTTTCTATTTCACGTTGTTATAACATCCCGTCGACTTCTTTGCTTCTTCTTTTCCTTAATAAAAGCTTCAATAATGGGATTTTTGAAATATTTTGATTATTTTTCTTATTTTTTATTGCTAAGATGTCTTACATGCTTTGCATTGAACTTAAAATTGTGAATCTACATGGTTTTGGATTATCCTTGTAATATTTTATAGCTGATTAGATTTGAATGTTTAGTATGAAGGAGGATTTTAAAATCTAGGAAAAAGTTTGAGAAGCACTGGAGCCTTTTGTGTCGTGGAACATCGTTTGAGAACCACTGATTTTACACCTTCTTGTGCTGTTCACATCCTAGGATGATTTTAGAATGACTTAATTTTTATATGACAAAAGCTTGAAAGCTTCAAACCATTTTCAGGGTCGAGGATCTCTCAAATCCTTACGAGTAGCTAGCAATCATTGACATTTTCACTTCTTCAACATTTCCATGACCATAATAGTATCTTAGATATAAAAATTATGTCCAATTAATAACAATCGGCTGTTAATCTTTCATATATTGCATCTTCATTCCATTCTAGTCTGCAACTTTACTATTTTAATAGTTTTAGAGACATTTAAAAGCTTGATTTTACATGAGCAGTTTACAAGTGAATTAAATTATAAGGCAGCCTTCACCTCCAAAGAGATGATATTCGATAATCATTAATTATTTTAAAGCGTCTACAATTACTACACAAATTGTACATT